CGGGGGGGAAGGCTCCCCCTCCACTGCCCTCCTTGCCGTACCGACCCACGCCAAACACCACCCCACCCCCCAACTCCCCCTTACCCGCCGCGGTCTCGGTCGCGGCCCCGGTCCCCGAAGCCCCTCATCGCCCCCGGAGGGGTGGGAGAAAGGCAGCGGAACGCCGGCCGTGGGGACGGCGAGGGACTGGGGGTACGGGGAGAGGGTCCAGCCAGGGGCGGCTGTGTCTCGGAGGAATCGCTTTGCGCCACCTCGCTTCTTTGGTGGGATACAAAAGGAGAAGAAGTGGTCAGTGGGTCAGAGACCCGCTGAGCGTCGGCGGACGGAACGGCGGGGCTCTCGGTCGGCTCCAGGGCCCGTGAAGTGTGGAGACACCAGCGTCTTCTTCCTCCGGGCTCCCGGCACAAAATGGCTGCCGCCGCCCCAGCCGCTTCACTTACGTTACGGGCGGTTCAGCGCTGCGCAAACTGCGGCTCTAGAAAATACCTACGCCTATTCCCGGAAGCCAACTACGCCCTAAACTCGTTTGGCGAAACAGTGCTCCGCACGGTGGGCAGGCTACGAACGGTGCGTAGCGTCCTGTACTTGAGCCGGGCCCCTGCGTGAAGAAGAGAGGGAAGAGAGTAACGCTCTCCCTATTCTTCAAAGTCCGCTACGCACGGAGTCAACCCCACAACCCCTTCTAGACGGTAGGGAAAACTGAGGTCGAGGCGTACGTTACGCAAGTACACCGCGTACGCAAGTTGCGTAACGCAGGCTTGCGTAGGACCGGAAGCGATCCCGTGCGTTTGGCGTAAAATTCTTCCGCGGGCTGTGCAGGCAGGGCTGGCGGAGGGTCGGAAGCTTACGTTGGTTTTGTCGCGTAGCCGGGTTTGGAGAATACGGCCTTTCGCCTACGCGCCCGCGGGCCCCGTGGCGGGTGGCAGTGGGGCTGAGGAGACAATAACAGCAGGGGCCTAGCCCGGCGGGGGGAGAGCGGCCCCTCGGGCCGCCGCGGCGGGGGGACGGGGTTTTTCCTCGGTTTGGGGTTTTTTTTGGGGGGAGGAGTGGTGGTGGTGGGTTTTTTTGTTGATTATTTAGTTGTTTTTTCCCCCCTGGCCGATCAGTAGGGGGATGTCGGTGTGGCGCTGGGGCAGGAGTGACAGCAGCCATGTTTGCCTGCGCCTGAGTGCCAGGAGAAAATGGCATCGGAGTCACCCCCCCAGTCACACACAGCCCTCTGCAGCTACAGGAGGTTCAGGGCGAGCTCTCTAGAAAGTAAACTGGTAACCAACTCACCTAGTGCTTTCTGGGCTGTCAAATTGCCAAAAAACAGTTAGAATGGTAGAAAAGTCTCCCTCTACTTTCAGGCCCATGAAACAAATAGCTTGGCGTGGAAGGAGACAACTCGTTTACCATTTTAGTTTTACTTGATGGATGGATGAAATATGCAAGAAAGCAAAAAGCAATCTTGGTGCTTAAAATAAAATACTGGAAGAACCTTTGGCCTCGCTGAGTGGGTGGGACTCGGGCGACAGCAGTACTTGGCCATTAGATAGCAACGCCTGCTGTGGGAGAGGCTGGTGCATATGAAAAACTAGGTGTTACCTGAAATAACAACTGCTGCTCCATTACTGATCCCTCAGATCAGCCAACCTCCCTTGCCTTCTATCTCTAGGCTTCCCTCCGCTGTGAAAAGTAGTGCTTTACCTCAGGAAAAATATCAACGATCTGCTAAGAAAGCACTCAAGGAAGGTAGACTCTAGCTCTGTCACAAGGAACACCCTGGCTACGGTGTCAGGCTCTTCTTGGGTGAATTTCTGTCCATTGCTGTCATTTTACATCATGTTATCTTAACACGCATTAGTTAATCTAAACGAAAAAAAAAGTCATGTCAGCGAGGACAAGCTCTCTAACCGGACAACAAAGTTAGACCCACTCTAATTAGCGTTGTTATACAAGAGGACCAAGTAAGGCCTTCCCTTAAAGCATCTAGTAAATAAATGGTTGAATTTATTTTACAACAAGCAATTCCATGAGCATTGGGGGTGATGTACACTGAATTGGTCCCCCGATCCCTACATTTCCTAAGTGCCTTTCCCTCACTGTAAGAACCAGTGTTGGCCTCTCTCTGGCCACTGTTTTTGTTTTCTCCTATTTTTTAGTATTTAATAATAATCTTTAATATTCTTACTTATTTCAGGAGACTGCCACAGCAATTATATAAAGCTTGTTTCTTTAGAGAACTAGACAAAAGGGTTTAAAGAGTTTTGCTTGCACCCGGTTTATTTCTCTCATGGCAGATCAGGGAGATAGTATTATTGAGAGCAGGCTTTGATTCAAAGCACCCAAACATAAGCAGAGTGCTGTTCTAATTAATAATCTTTATTTTTAACTTTAATAAGAACAGTTTTAAAACATTCTATCCAAAAAGTAGAAAATGCTAAATAAAAATACAAAAATTACCTAGTCAACTTAAAAATCCCTAAAAATGTATTTTTAAAGTACCTTGTTCCAAGTTCTTGGGGTGCCACTGCCTTTTCCATCTATTTATGTCAGCTTTGTAACAGTTCATTCCAATTCTGTTCCATTTCACACTATTAAATTCTACCACATAGACACTCTCTTTGAAAGAAACTAAAAAAGAGTATATTAATCTCATGTGAAAGGACAGCTTTGATTTCCACAAAATATAGGAAAAGGATTCTCTGAACCTTTCATAAGATTATTTCTTAAATCTTGGTCTGCTGAAAGTTCAATTGAAAAATGAAGACCTTAAATGAACCAAATTCTATTAAGATCAGTAAAACTGAACTGCACAGAGTTCATACCAATGTTCTCCCAAAATATCTCAAATGGTTCCCAAAAGATAGAAATGCAGCCAGGCAGTCGATCACCTCGCTCAAATCTTCATCCCAACTGCCCAGGTGGTTTTCAGCTGTGCATTTACATCAGTTTTCTGCCTATTCTTTGGCATCTCCAATCCCTCCAGCAGTTATTGCAAATGTGGCTTCGTTTTCAGGCATCTCGGGGCTGGGAAAATTAAAAAAAAACAAACAAGGAACTTGTGGGTTTCCCCGTGTTAAATGCAGATGTGACACAGTCCCCCAAATGTTCTAAGTGTAAGCAACCCGAATACTTCCACATCTTTGTACCTATGTGCAAACTGTAGAATGTGATCAATATTCTCAAGATCACAAAATGTGAAATCCACCTCTTGGAAGATGGCAAACACGAGAAGGGGGGAATGGAGAAGGTGCAGGAGAAGGAAAGAGTCTGTCTGTGCAAACCCTTGATATCTTAGTTCCTGACCAGAAACACTGGTCTCTCTCCATGCAGTCCCACTAGTACGATCCATAATGACTTGTGTCTGCCACAGCTTTCCAGGTAAAGTGTAGTAATTGTAGTAATCAGCAACATTTAGTAATTTAACAGCTCTGGAATTTTCCTGCCAATGGACTACCAGTCTTACCAAAATATTTGATGGTCTCCTTTAAGAGATGAGTATCTAGTAGGATTTATGATGAAAGATTATGTAATTTAATGTATGAAATATGCAAGATAACTTTACGTCTGTTAATTAGTTTGTCCTTTCAGATTTTCTCTCAATTTACCATCCAGAAACGTGGCTAGTTTGAAACCATGAGTCGGCTACCAAGCTATGAAGTTTCAGTACTGTGAACTTTGTCACCTTACGGTTGGCTGCTGATAACACAGCTTCCTTCCTGGGAGGAAAGGTGATTTACCTGTCATATATCTTTGCAATACGCAGCTCCCCTCTCCCTTTCCTCAGGCTGATCCTGGTAGTCGAAGCGTGAGCGAGGATGTGGCCCCCAATGGGCTTTTTTGGGTCCGCCTGAAAGCTAAATTAGTGATGATTCACTGTGCAAATTCCATGGGTTAATACTGTGATTAACTGCCAGACGTGGCACATTGAACTCAATAATGAATAATAAATAGGTAAATATATCAAAAGGATTTTAACGCACTTGCCTCAAGATAGGATGTTCAAATGTTCGATGCTGGCATAATTTTCCACCCATTAAATTCAAGAGACTCAAGAAATACAGACCTTAAACTTTATATATAAGCTGCTCCAAAAGAAAATGGGGTGCTTTTTCAATACTCTTTATGGCTTGCTCTCTTTGTTGAAGTCACAGTGAAAGAAGCCATGATGCCAGGGAGCAGATAAACATTAAAAATCTCATTACAAAAGCTGAGAGAAACCCACAGCTGTCATGCTAGAGAGACCAATGACCAATCTGAACCTTCATTTTGATGCTTCTTCACAGAATCACAAATCACCTCTTGCTCTATACAATCTAAATTTTCTTCTCTGTTACATATGTAATATAAAAGAGAAGACGTTTTTCACAGAATCACAGAATGATATGGGGTTGGAAGGGACCTCTGGAGATCATCTAGTCCACCCCCCCGGCCAGAGCAGGTCCACCTAGAGCAGGCTCAGGCTGCGCAGGAACTTGTCCAGGTGGGTTTTGAACATCTCCAGAGATGGAGACTCCACCACCTCTCTGGGCAGCCTGTTCCAGGGCTCTGCCACCCACAAAGTAAAGAAGTTCCTCCTCGTGTTTAGATGGAACATCTTATGTACAAGTTTGTGCCCATTTCCTCTTGTCCTGCCAGTGGGCACCACTGAAAAAAGACTGGCCCCTTCCTCTTGACACCCACCCTTTAAGTATTTATAGGTGTTGATCAGATCCCCCCTCTGATCAATTAAAAATTGGTTTTTAAAAAAAGAGACAGAAAAAATATTTTACGTCATAGTTGCTCCTGGATCAGCAGTCATCTGGTTGGTCACAAACACAGCCACATTATATTCTGCAACAGAAAACAATGCAAAGAAGGCAGATTATATCCAGTTACAATTCCAAAGTATTCTCCCATCCATGGTAAAAGCAAGGCTGCTGCTGAAGCACTTCAAATTTCAAATGAAAGAGAAGCAAACATTCTTTATGTCTGATGGCTGGAGTTTATTGGGAGACAGCCTAAATTTGCTCCTGTGGGACTTCAGCTGGAACACACCAAAAATGAGCACTTTTCAGAATTCCACTGAACAAGTCCTCCTCAGTTCCCATCTTCCCTGTTGGATCCCTACCCTCAGCCCCCTCTCCCTCCCTTTGTCTCTTTGCCCTGTTTTTTTCTTTTTTAAATTTACTGCATGAAAAAAAAAAAAAAAACACCATTTACTCATTCCTCATCAATGTTTCTGAAACATTCCAAAGAGGAGGAACCCTATTCATCCTGTCATCATCCCTCAGAGCATTGCAAAGTACTGGCAATGTGGCAATGGGCACAGCTTTTTCATCTCTCTGTGCCTTCATTCTTTTTTCTATTCTTCATGTTTCTCATCTATTTAGATGGTCAAAATTTGGGGAAGACCATTTCTCTTATTGGATATTTGTCCAGTTCTACAACCTATTTTCTTAAACCCTCATCAGTATTTCTAGGAAAACTCTGAGTGTTGAAGGCTCCTTACTCTGTCATCTTGAAATAATATATTATCAGTTTGATCTTTTTGGTAACTGACAGAAGTGTAAAGTGAGGAAAGATTCCTGGGCCGATGCCTGATTGAAAATACACTCAGACTACTAGGTGGTTGTGCTACCAACAGCTACTGTTCCAGTAACTCCAGTCCACGTTTTCCAAATTTTTGCAATGTCTCCCTTACCTTCTGATATTTTTTGGAGCCTTGACAGCATCTGAGCCAGTTTCTGTTGTCGTTCAGCCAACTCTCCACGACCACTGAAATCCACACGGAAAAGTGCCATTATGGAGTCAATGATCTGCATTGTAATTACGCTAGATAAGTAAGTATCGTGAATGAAAACTGGAAAACATATTCTGAAAGCAGTAAGCATATAAAAAAAAAATAAAATTAGTCTTGTACCAACAGCTTGAAGATACCAGCTTCCTCATGGAACTTGGCTGCTACATAGTCAAGCAATTCCATCTGATGCTCACCTGGTGGGAAGTACAGTTGCCAAGTGAAATTAGGACCAGAAAGAGCTCGGAAGGAACAAAGGCCTGAATTTTAAAATTTCCCTGAAATGTCTGCAGTGTTTATATTTTCTCTGCCAGCAGTTTTAAATTCAGTGCTCAAGCTACCTCTACAGTAACCAGCGGTGCTGTCCTTCTGCAGGTTCCAGTTCCTGCTTGCCCAGCTAACAAAACTTCTTTGGGAAAAGCTTCACATTAAAACTATCCATGAAGACAACTTTTTTTTGTTGTGTTAAGAGCAGAAAAGCAATAGAAACATTTAATGTTGAACTAAATGACACACAGAAATTGTATTAATAACATTATTTATGTTCATCTCTGTTCTAAATTAAAACTTCCTCGAAGTTCTAATGCAATGTCTTATGACAGAGCGTGTTGGAGCTGTCCCTATCAAGTTCCACTCACAAGAGAGGGAATTTCTCAACAGCATTTATAGGATTAGCTGACATTCAGGCAATTGTGGTTACGTCCATTGGAATACTTACTCTGAGCCAGTCTGCTCACTGTACAACACCAGAAACAGAAACCGGAAGCAAGCTTAAAACTTCTTTTGTTAGCAGCAAAACTTTCTTCATGATCCTCAGTGGGCAACCTGGGCAACCTCAGTTACTAAACTGGGGACTATTAAAACGGGAACCTTAGAGAAAAAACACAGGTATCACGCCAGTTGCAGTAATGGTCTTACTGGTATATGCACGCGCGTACAGCACGTTGTCAAGGACCGCATCGTGGTCAAGATTGAAGCGATCAGCAATGTCACGCAGACGGTCCGGTCGGCTGACATGAGTCAGAGTTAAGGATTTTTCTTTGCACAAACCATGCTCTGAAAAGAATAAAACTCCATTCCAAAATAGAACTGGGGGGGAGAGGGAGGAGGGGGGAAGAATAATATTTATTTTGATCCTAGAGAAGACTGACTTTTTCTCTTCACACTGTCCCACATACCCTAAAGATAGTTTAAGGCTCACGATGATAATTTGTTTCATGTTTAGGGTTTGAGGTGGGAAGAGTTGACATACAGATATCTGTGCTTTATGAATCTAGCCGTGAGCAAAACCTATTTATACACAGTCTACCACAGATACAGTGTCAAAAATAGTGTTTAGTTCTTAGATGAATTCCTCTTGAAGTATATAGAAAAGCTTCTATCACCTGTAGAAGCGTATTAGATCTCAACCAACCCCCCCAAAAAAAACAATTAATATAACATCTGTATCCTAACTCTAATTTTTCCAGGTTAGATTACATCAAATGACAGAGAAAAAAGTCACTGCCCTGTGGGCCACTACACACTGTGCTCTCCAGGCTTTCTGTGCCAATCATAATACTTCACATGTACAAAGCTATCCAGAGTCTCTTACTTGCTTAAAATAAAATGAACTGTCTTTCCAGTTCCTCCTACCTGTAGCTTTTAACAATCCAAAAGATACAAAGTGTTTTCAGTATCAATGAAGATAATCTTTCCACCCGTGTAGCCGTTCAGTCCTGGAAGCTGAGCTGTCACTGCAGTGAATCATAGAAGATCAAAATGAAAAAGCGGGAAAAACATTTTCTTACTCCATCTATTATTATTTTTTAATAAAAATATGACTGCTTAGCCATATCACAAAGAACCACCAGTTTTAATAGATGTGGAACTCGGGAGTATCTCAAGTCTTACCACCGTCTTGAGAAGAAACTCAAGCCACTTTTCTCAATTTGAGAGCAGATGAGATTTAATTAATGGTTTCAAAATTGTGTGTTACTCAGTACCATCACAACATCTGTATGTTGTATATTGATAATAGGTAAGGGTATTATTAACACACAGGATGCACGAAGCATCCTCTTAATCCTCTGCCCAAATTAATGGTATTGATTTGGTAGGGTTTTTTTGTCCCATCTGTAACTCATATGATCACAAATTCTTTGGATATTATTTTTTTCTGATATGCAAATAGTTACTGATTGTGGGTTTAGTCTCTCTGGAGTGAATAAGCTAAAATACTCAATTCAGTTGTAATCATTCATGCAAAAGGGTGTGACTGCTGACTGTTAGACTGTACTAAACAGAAGAGGCCTTATTTTTCCAGAAGGTACCATAATTCCCTTTATAATATAGGGTTTATTTAAGGGAACATTTGCCTGCCCGGTGTCTGGTAACTATATTCCAGCAGCATTAATAGTTACATTATTTATTATTTACTACTATTTACACATGGAGAGATATCACTGGGAAATCAGAGTCCTGCTGTATTTGGCACTACCCGAATACGGTGACTGCCAAAGTCTTTGTTTATCCAGTTACTGTCAGCCAGTAGTATCCTTTCAGTGCCCTTTCAGAATGTCATATTCAGCAAAACCTCTTGAAACCAGGAAATTAGTCCCCCTGTAACCCATATTTGTGCTCTGCTTTTCCAGATGGTGTGTTTCACTTGTTTCTCTAAGACAGTCCATTATCATCTTTCTCCGTATGGCAAAACTTACATCAATGTGAGCCGTATTTAAAAGTAATCATTTATATGAGTTCTTTACTCAAACACAAGTAATGGAGGTAAGAGTCGCCAAGATCTGTTTCTCTGTATTTCTAGAGATAAAAGATTGTGACTTGTCTCTATGTGTTTAATTCTGGTATAGTTGTAAAGAATGGATTCACTGAGAAGAAACATCTCTCTCTTTTAAAGTATTACACCTACCACAAAGGGTGTGAGAGAGCTGGGTTTTGCCTGTCCGGAACTCTGTTAGATAAAGAAAAGGGAAAAAAAAAAAAGGTCAGCATTTCTTTTTCTGAGTTTGCCAGATTCAGGAGCTACTGCAGTTAGAAGCACTCTTACTTAACAAAATTTACCTTGATCTCTACCTTTTAAAATTAATTTAACCCCAATTTATAAATCATATTCTGTGCAATAGAAATGTGTTACATGAAAAGCAAAATCTGAAATACTTTAATTTTATCATGCTTGATTGCTAAGGTCATTGATTTTTTCTGTGTACAAGTTAAAAGCACATGGCACCTGTGGAAAATTGTTAACTGAGGGGACAGAGGAGAAATGGTTGATTCCACTCTCTTGGCCCAGCTTCACTTTCAGTAAAATGATCAAGGAGAAGCTTATGAGTTTATTAATCTCATTATATCAAATCATGTTAGTCTCCAGTTTATCTTTTCTAAAGGGAAGAGTACTGTGTTTTACAAACTCTTATTGTTGAAGTGTTAACCACTAACTGATCAAATTTACTATAATTGTAACTTCATTGTAATTTCAAAATCTTATATGAAATGCAATATATCCTATGTGTGCAGAAATAAGATATCTTTTGTGGCAGTTTTGTTACTGGAAAGGAACACACATCACACCAGGGAAATCTTTCCTATATGACATATTAGTAATAGCGTTACTAATGCTATGTTGTATTGAATCAGCGTGCTCCAAGTCTAACGATTACTCAGCTCAACTCAGTCTGCAAGCAAATGAGGAGGAAAAACAGGAAAACACTACAAGAAGTGGATTCTTTCTTCTTACACTCATGCAGGTACTCATCTTTATGACTACAATGTCATTAAGTTTGATAGAAGTGATCCAGCTTGATTTAAAATCTAAACGAAGCTGCGATTCTTTGTTCAGTAATACTCATTTAATGTGGTTTTCTTACCTCCAAAGGCCTCGGTGATTGCCATGCTTTCAATCCCACCACCCAGAAGTTTACTGGAGAAAGGGAGAGAATTATAATATTGTTAAACCCACAAAATCACAAGAAGAAAGTAAAAAAGAGAAATTTTTGCTACTTTAAGAAAAATCGTTTCTACCCTGAAGCCCCTCTCTTGATACTTTAAGTGCAGGGCACTAAATGATCACTGATTCATAAAGAATCAACTCTTTCTCAACCTTCCTTTCTGTGTGCAAGAGAAAAATCTACAGAAATTATTACTGGAAAGAAAGAAGAGAGGAAATACCTTTGAAAAGATAAAAATATCTCAAGGGAGGTCTTGAAGACTTATAATTTTGACCTGAGACCCTGCAGGTTGTTTTGAATGGGAGAAAAAATGATGATTCGTTCAGGATTTCTGGATACAAACTCTTTACGATGACTGTAGAAAAGGAGTTGGTTTTGCTGCTTATTGATGCAGGCATCTTTGAACCAGCACTAGCTCCAAATGCAAGGCAACCTAGGTGTCCTAGCTGAATATTTGTTCCTTTATATTTTTGTCTTTTATTAAAGACAATAAATACGATCATTGGAACAATAAGGAATTATTGTTCAATAGAACAACAATTATTGGACTAAAAAGGATTTAAGTAGAGATAAGCTTACTCAAATTCCTGGCTGCCAGTGGTAATATGAAATACCATCTTCCGTTTTTCACTGTACTCAAAGGCGGTCAGGAAGCCTGGTTCCTAACGAATACCAAAGAGAACATGAGAGATTTATTTTGGCTCTAACCCGAAGCTAAAGTGCAATATCCCTATACCCTATCCCTATCCCCAAATACCTAAGTATCTTCTCTCTACCCTAGCTTCATTTACACAGGCTGGGTATGAAAAGCACCACAGCATTTGACTGGTTGTTGCAGAGTATTAAGTATTATCCCTTTAGAGTAACAAGCAGAATAATTTTCAAAATTTTCTTAATGATATGGTGAAAAAAATCTGTTAAGAGAAATGATGCACAGCATTTTGGAGAGGCCAGCATAAGTTTAAACTATCAGGAAAGTGATTGGCTTACAATAAGCTTGTTTGCGGCTTCTTTAATCTTGTCCACTTTGGCCTCTGAAAGCCCTTTCACATTGCACAGTGCCCGCCTTGTGGTCATCTGGATGCCCTTGATAGTGCAGATCCCAACTGATTTCAGTTTTTTAATATCTGCTACGTTCTGTGAAGACAGTTCCCTTCTGTGAGTACTCGTGACAGTTAATAACTAGAAGGCGAAGTAAACCTTTGAAACACATTTTATCATACATTCACATGCATGTGTATTTTCAGCAAGAAAGAAACAGATTTACAGTAAACTTTTCATTATGTATGTTATGACACCAACACCAGAAAACATTGAGTATCATTGCTGTGAGGGATCATGGTGCAGAGCCCAGATCCTGGTGCTTTTGAGAGAAAGGTGTCTTGGGTCCAGTTGTATTTCCTTGTCCCTGTTCAGTGTCAGTCTTTCTAGATCCAAGCTGGTACTAACAGGATGGATTATTTTGGGCAGTGTGGAGACCAACCCAGTAAACCCTATAACCCTCAATCTGTCCTTGGTCCCTCAGCACAGATGATCTGTAAACCAGATAATCTGATCATGGATAATTGGGAGCTGACTCGTGTGGGTCGTCGGAAGCCGACTCTAACTGCTGTGTATGTCCAGTTTAAAACAAACGGATCCTCCAGATCTGACTGACACTTTGGGCTGGAATGAGTTTTTCATAAATTGGGTACAGCGTGACTTCACTCAGCACCCTGCTGACACATTGCACCTCCTCTCACCTCATTTTAAGATTCTGACATCACTGGGAACTTAAAAGCAAGCAACAGATTACTCACAAGAAAACATACTATGGGAAAGGTTTGGGATACTTCAATTTACCATTTCCAGCCAAGATTTTTCTTTGGAAAAAGGAAGAACTTACGAACTGAATCTATTTATCTAGAGCATGTGGGTGCATGGGATGTAAGAATGGAGCGGTGCTATCTTAGAAATTAGTCATGTTCATTTGGAAGCTTATTTCTCATCCTGTGATGTGTTTTTTGATTATTACATTAATAGAGATAGATGAGGTAAAATCAGTCACGAATAAAAATGACTCTTCCACCCAAAAGAATATGATAACCAGAAATGTTAAAAGGATTGAATTATTTTATTGTGTTTTTCTCTTAAGACAGCAGACTACTGCTGCAAAGATATTTTTTTTTTTCCTAGATCAAAACCTTAAATGCATTACCCTGATGCTGCATTTCTTCAGTGGCTTTGTCTTTCTGGTTCACAAATCCAGTTCACAAGGTGGCTACAAAAGGAGATGTGCCAGAAGAAGGGATGGCATGCTTTAGGAGCAGGAACACTCAGCAAAGGCTACACCTTAATTCCTACCAAACACTTATGGTGAACATCAAACCACAGCCTAGGTTGTGCTAATCTGACTCTCATTGTGGCCACAGTCAGATCTAGTAAATATTTCTCTCTCTACTTCTAGGAAAAAAAATCTAAACCTACAAAAACTATTTCTTTAAGAAGCAAATTAATTTAACAGATATGCATTACCATATGTTCACGCAAAGATTTTAAGTGGCATAGCTGAGAACAAAAACTTCCCCTGGGTGTGGGAATAACCACTTGGAAGGAAGAAAGAAGAAAAAACAGAAAAGGAGCAGGAAACTCTTACTAAGCCAGAAGAACAGCCTAAGTTATTATTCTTTATTTTCAAGATCTTTCATACCTTAGTATCATTCTCTGCATACCATGCCTCATTTAATATTGACAGGCTAGGACCTTCCAGCTCTTGAGGTCAGCCTCTTTGGTCAACTTGTCAAATTTTTGAACACAAGAATTCATGTATTTTTTCTATGTTGACTCATGGCAACCCAAAGAGCTCCCAACCTCATGATCCTTCTTCAAAACTCTACAACTATCAATGAATTGCCAATAAAAAAGGTTGACAACAGTTACACCGCTGACACGCTGAGCCTGGTAATCATACTGCTGACTAATGCTGTCTCACTGTGTCTGTGTCCTCTCTGTCTGTATCCATCTGTAGTCTTTTATCTGAAAGTTCAATTTTACATTGTATCACGCAAACTCAACTTTTAATTCTGCTTCTATAACACTGAACATAATGGGGGTCTGATCCATGAGCCAATCTCCCAGATAAACATATAATAATGGTAATTCAAATAAGCTGTGTATGTGATAATAATTATGATGGTGATAATGATTATAGGAATTTGTATTTGATGAAGAAAACTAACCATTTTTTTCTCTAGCTAATAATATTTTCCTCACTCCCACTCTACCCCCTTCACCAGCATGCTGAAAATAGTAGAGCAACAATTGTCACAGTGTAATTTCACAGGCACCAAAAATGCAGGAGTAATTACAAAGATTGGCAGGAACAGGAAGTAATCTATCACACAGTTTTCAAATAAATTAGCAAGTAGTTGGTTTTTCAAGAGTGCTGGGTGCTAAATACTTTGAATAACTTGCCACCTTATTTAGGAATCTGATGGGAATGAAATTTTCTGAAAACCTGTCTTATCACCAGAGGCAAAATTGTCTTCACATGAATGATTTAGAATTTATTGCAAGGAGGAATTCCAGTTATTTGTATCAATGTGTATACGCTTTTGGAAATTCCCTTACAATACCTTTACATGGACAATTCTGTGCTGTAAACTCACTGCTAATACTTACAATTCCATGCTTCTGTAGCAGGTCGATATCCTGAAAAAAGGATTCCTAAAAAGATAGCAGGAAAAAAAAAAGATTTTGCTTTTTCTTGTAATTACATCTCTCTCACGATGTGTCTGTTTCACATTTGTAAACATTTAAGGGATTTTCCATAATAACATATATCTTATTGGACTACTCAAATAAGCAAAGCCATAGTGAGCCAAGAAGGCCTACACATTTCCTATCATCTTCTTCATACAGTGTATCTTCACAGGCAAGCAATCCTCTACTGTGCTAATAAAACTTGTGTTACAATCATCATCACCCTGATATTTTCCACCACAGTTTCTCAGCTTTTCAGGCTGATGACCGTTCCTCAGAAGCATAAAAATAGCTGATAGTCCCCTTGCATTTAATATAGAAGTGCAAAGTATAAAGAAATAATGATAATCCCATTAAAAACTGTGCATAGCTTTTGAAAGGTTAATGAGTATTTGAAGAGCAAGGCTGCACAGGGACTAGAAAAATGAGATTTTCTTGGTATTAGACTGGAACAAAATTTTAGATGCATTGAAGTCCCTAATGGTTTTTGGGGACCTCCTGCCTCTGTGGATTTCATAACACTATCAAAATACCTTCAAACAACATTTGCCGCACGTATTTTTCAATCAACTGTAAAATTACCTCATCATCATGGTATCCTAGTTCTTCTTGGACAACTTGATCCTCCGTGGCCTTCATCATGAAAGAGCAGGCAATAAAGTATTGATCACTACTGGGAAATGCAAACAAAGATGTTATTCGGGTGTCAATAAATGAGTAAATGATTGTAAAAGGACTTTTTAAAGAAGTCCTTGAACTATAGAAGCTTCTCAGTGTGCCACACATTTGTATTTAAACTTGGATTCTGCTTCCAACTCTTTGTTACCTGACCGACCAGACCAAAAGGAGAAAATCTACTGTGTTACTCTCCGATGAACCAGTTTGGATCGAAACAGTTTAACAAGTATTAGGAAAAGAGATCTCATTCCCTTGTGACAATCTCGGGTCAGAGGTAAGTTTGGAGGTGGGAACATTTTAAATGATTTATCATTAGTGGAATATATTCTGGAAAGAAAGTTACAGGCAGTCTGTACTTCTATAACAAAATTCAACAGAGCTGCAGACAGAATGGGTAACGGGAAGGCTAAGCAACATCTCAGCTTCCACATCTTTATGTGACAGAAAGCCCACAAAGCAGCCCTATTGAGAAGGTTACAACTCCTTAGTCATGTATCTTGAGAGTAGAGTATAAAGCTGTATTTGTTTCCAAGTTCTTACTGGAGTTCAGAATACCTAATAAATGCTGAAGACGTAGAAGTAATGCCTGTAAGAAGAGAATGCCCTTGCATGAAGAGAATAAAGGAAGGATAATAAAAATCTGAGGCTTTTATTATGCAAAAACACACAGAAGGCTAAATTCACAATTTTTCATGGTTAACTTGCCATGTCTGTACTCTACTACAGCCTTACTGCTCTCTTTATGTGATTTCCTACAAGCAAAGCCGAAAGCCAGAATAGGCACTTATTGAATAGCATGGTCAAATAGAAAGCAAAGTACTATCGCCTTAAAATTTATGAATGCAAGAAAAAAATAATACAAAGTAGTTCTTTAGAAATATGATCTTATAACCTGCTGTATCATTTTTGTGCTTTTGTAAATGGATGGTTTGCTTCTATCTTAATTGTGAGACGTGTATATGTTTGCTTGCTCATCCTTGTTAATAAAATCCATGAAAGCTTATTCAGGTTTATTGTGAAACTACAAGATGGGCCACATCTAACAGAGGGTGGGATAATTTAGACTAAATATGTGCAAACAGTTTTTTTCAGCTTCCAAATAGATACTTAAAGTCTGCCTAATTTGCTTGCAAGAATCTTGTGTATAGAAGCTGGGAGAAGTGGCAAAGAAAATATAATTTTAGAATGATCTTATTTGGTTTTGGAGTGAAAATATGATGGAGTTATTTCTGTTAGTATTTAATGGAAATATTCCTATCAAATCAGTTGTTTCTGGTACTGTCAGGATATATTTCATTTCTCTGTCAGAACCCAGAAAATTATGAAAATCATGCCTAATATAAATCAGAAAAAATAATTACAGTAAAACATTAATTAAAAAATATTTGAAAATATTTTTTAAACCCCTTAGCTTCAAATCCTGAGGGCAATACAATTCTGTACAATGAAGACCCCTTCTTCATTAAAAATATCCTCCTGAAGTGCACATAACCCTTCACTCCAAGCACAGCTGAACAGGTCATGGGATCGTTTTCCTACTCCCCATCCTGAGGCAATTGGCATCTCACAACAGAAAAACGAGGCAGACCAGGATCTGTGCCTTCCTGCAGGCTAGGTGGGGAAATGAAGAAATTTATTCCATACCCTACTAAAAGCCTGAGGGATGAATAAAATTCTCCTGTTCAGTGGAGGGTCCTCCTGTTGCTGGTGTGTCAGCGCACCAAAGGCCTAGAGGATTTCATCCACTGCCACCTGGGGTGAAGCACATAAAAGGGTGAAAATGTGAGACAACATAGCAAATCCATAAAGAAACAAGAATCTTTGCGAGGAAACACACTTTTGTGCCACCTCAGGAGCCCCAACCCTCTTGTTCCTGCCCTGGGAGCTCTTCACTAGGATGGGTGAGGAAGACCCTCACGCTGCTCTCTTTTCAAGTGACACAGGCTGTGGGTGTGACAGGGACCTGGCCCCAGGGAACAGCCTTGGGTGTAACAGGGTGGTTCTCAGCTGACAGAAACACGGCAGCCACCTTTGGGCCCTGCACTAGGGGCAGGAACCACCTGGCCTGTCCCAAAGGGCACCATGGTGGAATTTCACACCTATTGCCTCAGAGGAGAATAAACAATCCTATATCAACACAGGGGTTGGTTTGGCTTTTCCTTGCCAGCTGCCTTTTCAGGGGATGTGAATTTCTGTTCCCAAAGGGTTGAGGCACCGCTGAAGTACATCCACACACACACCCACCCACACACCCCCCGTGGAGTACCAAAATTCTCCGTCAAAATTACGACGATAATTAAAACACAGCTCATCCCCGGGCACCTCCGGGGCTGCGAATGCTTACGTAGGAACCTGTGTTCCCTGCACCAGCCCAGGCTGCACTCACTGCCCGCCCGCTTCCTCCTCCACCGCCACCTCCTCCTCCTCCTGAGGGAAGGGGCCTTGCGCGTTTCCCGCCTCAGGAGGGGTAGGCGGGGCCCTCCCGCCGCCAAAGCGAGGCTGGTGCTCGCGCTGCCGCCAGGCCGCCGCGGGGGAGGCGCGCGGGCCCCTGACAAGAGCGGGAGCTGCCCCTTTCCTCACAGCCTCCGCCAGGCCCGGCGCCCAAATACTGCCGGATTATTGTCTGCAGTGACTGCTAAAATCTTCTAAACTGTATCAGCTGCTCTGTTTGCCATCTCTCAGGAATAGGGTATTGCCCGTATTTTGCAGCTGGCAAGGACAGGCCTGGTAATGGACACGATGGGAATGGCATTGGTTTGGAGGGGGTTCAGTTCAACACAGCTCAGCTTTGCCTTACCGGGTTCCACGCGTCCCTCTTCCTCAGCAAGGCACACGGTGGTTTTGGAATGGATGGGCAAAACCTGTCCCCAGAGCATCCATTTCCAAAAGCTGGAAGAGAAGTGAGTTGCCTGAAGTCCCAGGCTGAGAAAATGAGGCTGAGTCATATCCATGACTTCATCTGCCGTTTTAAAAGGATGGAAAAGGTGCTTCTGAGCATACAAACGCTTCTACGAGTCTCCAGTCTTCTTGGTGACAGTGTTTGGGAAGCAGTCACCGGTCTTAGATCACCTCTGGCCAGACAATTGGTCTGGGACTCAGGTAAAGGAGCCATGGGTGCACCCCTCAGAGCAGGAGGCGTTGCTGGCTGTCCCTCGGGATCGCTGCTCTGCTGGGGGGGAGGGGTCCCACCCAGTCACAGTCCAACACAGTTGCTGCATAAGCCCCCCTTGCCTCTGCTGCACAAGTAGTGCTGGGCCTTGCAAGGCAGGCAAGTTTTCGGGGCAGAGGATACAGTTGTTTTGAGAACCAAGGACATACATTCTTTGTTATCGGTACACTGGCGACAGAAGTCTTGTGGCAAGGGAGCTCTGAGGCATCTTGTCTTTCTGTCAGGTTCTTACAAGGGGTTGGGTGGCAGAAGGGATGGGAGCAGCATCTCAGCCTGTCTCAAGGTGCTCGTGAAAACTTCCCTACCCTCTGCCCATTGAGAGGCAGCTAAGAGCACACATGGGTGTTGTCAGTGCTGGCCAAGCTGGAAAACCAACCAACAAAACCCACAGCCCCTAACCATCATCAGGATGTGCTCGTGAGGTCTCCATTTGAGACATCAAGCAATTTATGTAAGTACCTGATGTCTAATTCTGGGTGCCCAAGGCTTTGTCTATAGAGAGGAACTGGCTGGCACTGCTTTTGAAAACTGCATTATTCTGCAAGAGCTATTCCAGAAGAGCACTTAGGCAGACAGCCCTTTAAAGACAAATTCTTTCACAAAGTATGCTTTTATTCCAGAACAGAATGCACATGCAGAGAGTGATCCTTCTGGTGCTGCTGAACAGCCCTGCAGCAGCTAATGCCTCTGTAAACAACCTTCCCTCCATTATCCTAGTTTGTAAAATAGTTCTCAGAGGGGTCAATGGAATGCACAGAGTCTGAAGATCATTTTCCGGCCCAAAATGCTACTTTGGGCAATAAATTTCATTCCACATCTTCAAAATGTGGTGTGTTCTTTCACTGCTCACTTGGCTTCCAGCTGGCATTGTGTAATAAACCCACATACTCCATCACATTACACACCAGCCAAGTAAGTGAGGCATCCCAGAGTCTGCTCCTTCTCTATTACAGGTTTTGCTGCTGACCAGTGCACCTCCAGCTGCAGGTGAGGTGCTGCCAATGAGATACCCTGCTGTAATCTGCATTTCCTTTCCCCTGAGATCTTACACCAGTTCAGACAAGACCTAGTTCAAACCGTTAACATAAAAATAGTAAGTATCCAGCTGATTTTTCCATCCTCACAAACCATTTTATTTCACAGTTGCAGTAAGGAAATTGTGGGGTTATTTTAGTTGACTGGTTTTGATTCAGATTTACATGAACTAAATGGACTACAGTTAAACAGATAAGCTAATGCCTTCTCTGAACTTTCAAGTAGGCAGTTTGCCTGTTCTTAACCAGCACAGAATAATCTGGTATTTGGCCTTTCAGAATATAAACCATGAAGATTCAGCCTGAGATATGCATGTACATTTATGTCTGAATTGTTGTTGAAGAACCGTGCCTTCTGGTTTCCATAGGAATGCATTTCGCTTACAGTTGGTTTCAGACTAAAACTGTGACACACCTGAAATCTTCCCAAAATTGCAGAATGCTGTGGGCAAAGATGCAGGGCAGGGTATTATGCTTTCCCTTATCTAAATGGCTTTGCATATCTCCTATTTGTATTCATTCTGGTGCTCATCTGAACAGTGAAAAAGAGAAGATGGTATCCGTCAGCTGGGGGATGAGGGTGAGAGACAGGGAAAGTGCCTCAGCAAAGTGTTGGGGTCATTTTTGCCATTTGGTGGACTCTCACCATTCCTGTAGACACTCTGAGACTGAACACAAATGCCTGAGATAGAATTTGCCTGGTGGCAGCTGTTCACGTTGCTGCCTGGCACAGGAAAAGAGAGAGAAACAACAGGGTTTATTGCCTTAGGAGGAAGCTGAGGCAGAAAAGTTGACTTAACTGCAATAACTCATCAGAATGGGAGTTAAGAAAATTGCTCACGGATGCATCTGCCATGCTGCAGAACACAGGACTGTGTGTATACTTTTCACACCAAAGACATTTTGACTCCTAATGCAAACAAGCTGGAAATACTGCAAATATTGTCTTAACTGTTATGGCAAAAAGAGTCAGTGCTTCTCTAACTTATTCACACAGCAGCATAGAAAATTGATCTGAAAAAGACACAAAGCAAAACCACTTTATCCACAGAACATAGGAGAGCAGAGTTTTCAGTGCTACAGTTAAAAAAAGTATAATTCATTGAATGTTTTTTCCCCCCCTCTAATACATTCCAGCTCACAGAAGCTGAGTGCTTCTGTTGTCAAGTACATTGAATAATGACTTTGAGTACACTGCTCTGTTTTATGCTCAGGACAGCATTTTCATTGGCATGCATCAGAAAGAAGAATGTATTTAAAGTTCAGCTAATAGAAATTTTTAAATTTCCAGGTCACAGTGGAATTTGCTGGTCACATCAAAGGATGGCATTTTACAAGAGAAACATTTTTAAATTCACACTTGGAAGAAGTTCAGCACTGGTATTCGAGAACATTTCTTCATTTTAAAAACAGAAGAGACTCTACTTGAAAGACTAATAATTTTCACAGTGTTTCCACATAGCTTATGAGCTTGGAAAAGTTAAGGCTTTCTAGTTCAGCCTCTCAGTTGGTAGCAGCTTTTCTTTTCAACCAGCCATGCTGCAGAACTGAACATGCTCTTCTTTTGGCCAGTTTTCTACTCCTGGCTTTGCTTGCTGCGTCTGCAAGTGAGTTTGTATGTAAACCATAGAAAAAAACAATCTTGCTCCATTTGTATTCCATATGTTTGCCAGGCTAGTGGCCAGAAGAGATCATAAGCAGTTTGTTTTTCAAACCCCAAAACTTGGATAGGCATCGGCTGC